GGTGGCAGAACTGCAACAATGTAATAACATGTGTGCGTGAGATACCCCCTCTGGTGGCCCCCCGTGACTCCTGCTCCGCGGGCTCACAAGGCGGGATCGAGAAACGGAGTGCAGTAAGAACCTCGTGCATGAGAGCTCTTTTTTTCAGGCATTTTTTTTGTTCCGACTACTGTTGCGCAGCATCCGCGAAGATGTCTCCGTCGTCGAGGTGCGCTGGCAAGCCCACCTGGCGGTGGGGCAGCCCACCTTCCTCTGCTCCGATCATGTGCCCCCTTGCTGGTGCTAGTCCCAGGGTGGCGGGACAGGATGCCAAGACGACATGCACCACTCAATCTGCACTCTCCCGCCCCACAGGCAGGAGGCGATCGAGGGCAGGAGGGAGGGGGGAAATCCTCCTCCTCCTCCTCCTCCTCCTCCTCCTCCCCCTCCTGCCCCTCCTCCTCCTCCTCCGCCTCCTCCTCCTCCTCCCTCCTCCTCCTCCTCCTCCTCCTCCTCCTCCTCCTCCTCCTCCCTCCTCCTCCTCCTCCCCCTCCTCCTCCTCCTCTCTCCTCCTCCTCCTCCTCCTCCTCCTCCTCCTCCTCCTCCTCCTCCTCCTCCTCCTCGTCCCCCTCCTCCTCGAGGGGAGAGGGAACGGAGAGCGAGGGGGCTGCATGGCGAGGGGGCAAGGCCGGGAGGCGAGTGCCATCCCGGGCCCTGTGCCTCCCTGCCCCGCCGTGCTCCTGTTCAGAGCCCACGCAGGGGGGGGCCGCTCCGTGCTCGGGCGAGCAGCCCCCTGCGCCCACGAAGACACGTGTGCTGAGCCACGCTCGCCAACCCGACGTTCGGTCCATCCATGCATGCCCGGATACTCCTTCCCCCCCCCTCCCCCCTCTCCACCTTCGCCTTCCCATCGTCCTCAATCTCCTCCTGCTCCTGCTGCTCCTGCTGCTGCTGCTGAGAGATTCCTCCTCCTCATTCTTGTCCTGCTCCGACTCCTGTTCCGCCTCCTCCTCCTCGTCCTCCTCTGGCCTCCTCCACTCATCCTCCCCATTCGCCCACTACCCAACCACGGGCGACCCTTCGCTTCCATTCAGTCGTCTGCTCTGCCCTGCTCCCAGAAGCGGTGAAGTGGAACCCGTCATCTCTGCCGCTCACTTATGCCAACCCTGGGCGGGGGGAAATGGAAGGACGAAGCGGAAGGGAAGAACCATTGGGAACAGAACTCGGAGAATACAGCAACAGGCACCGAACCGCGTGACTCGAGGCGGGCGGGTGCGCCGCGAGGCGCCTGCTCCCGGCTCCAACGCCACAGCTCCTCCCTCAGCTCCTCGTCGCGGCGCTTTTGAGATCGGGATCTGGTGCGCTGGCAGTCCAGACGACCATGGGCGCACTCAGTTTGGAGGGGCTCTACGGATCGACGTCGTGCTCGCGCAAGCCCACCCACCTTCCACCAGCATCGAAACATCCAGCCCCCTCCCCACTCCTTTCCTCTCCATTTCTCTCCCTCGAACCCTCATCCACCTCCCTCCCATCCCACCCCTTCCCTGCCCCACACCTCCTTTCCCGAACCTCCCGCTCCCTCACCCCACCATCCACTCCCCTCTCCCCTTCTCTCCACCCCCTTCCCGTCCACCCATTTCCACTCGCCTAACGGGGTCATGACGCAAACAAGTATGTTTATGCATGTATATACATGTATATAGGTTTGTGCATATATGCATGTATGTGTATGTTTGTGTATATACCAATATGAATATGTAGATTCGTGTAAAGATATTTGTGCATGTTCAGCATGTACATACGTGTATACACATACGTATGCTTATGTACGACGATCTATACATGAGCACGTCAACACACAACGTAGGTGAACAACTATCCGCCACCGTGCCTGGAGGCATGAAAAAAGAATGTCCTCGGGTCCCTCGAGTCCTCCATCCCCGATCCGGAGGGTTCTTCCATGGGCCCACGGTCTGGAGTTCTGGGTGCTTCTGGGCGATCCCTCGGGCTCGGTGCCCGTTGAGGAGGACAAGCGGGCAGGGAACAGAGGTGGATCGATGCCTTCATTTCTGCTGCGGTGGTGCTGCCGCGCTTCTGGGCCATGGCGCGCAGCGCTCTCGGATCCAAGGACGCCCCAAGACGGCCCAAGCGGGGCTCAAGATGCCCCTGAGGCTATCCAAGAGCGCCCCGAGAGTCGCCCAAAGATCGCTCCAAGAGCGCCCAGAATGGCCTCCAGACTGCCCAGGATGCCCCCAAGACGCCCCAAGAGGGCCCCAAGAGGCCCCCCAAGAGGGACCCGAGAGGCCAAACGTATTCTTATTCCTCGGGTTATTTGTCCGCAGCAGAGAACTCCTTGGAAACGCGCAAGACTTCAAGAAGACCCAAACCGATGCCAAAGCGGTCCAGCGACCCCACTGCGTTTCCATGATGGCCTTCAAGCACGAAACGACCCGACAGTTCGGCAGGTCCCTGTCGCGACGACCCCGGCGATGGATTCCGGCACCGCGCGGTTCGGTCAGCCTCCAACGATCGGCGGCCCTCCGATCGCCAGGTCGTTCCATATTGGCCGATGCCACTGGCGGCGTTCAACCTCGAACGCCCGCGACGGGGTCGCCGCGGCGACAACGCGACGCGAACCCACCGCGCCCTCAGGGCGGCCCCAGAAGGGCCCCTATGATCCGCACATGATCAGGACGTGGCTTCCAGCAGGTCGCAGGGCAACCCCAAAGCTCAGTGGGCCCTGGAAATTGCAGAGCAGTTGTTTTGTACCAATTCCTTCTTGTAGCTGTTGTTGCCGGTTCCGTCGCTGTTTTGTGCTGATTCCGCCGCCAATTTTTGTTCTGGTTCCGGCTCGGGCTCCAATCTTGGGAACAGTGAAAAAGCGGCCCTGCCGTTTCTGGGGCCCACTACCCTGAGATCCGACGTCTTGGAAAATTGAAGCATCGTGAAAAATCAAGACTGGAGCCCCGGACCCCATCTTTCTGCGTCATTTTTCAAGCTGGAACCATCTGTGAGGGTCTGGGGGCCCGAACAAACGCGAAAACGTCCGACTCGAAAAAAATCAGTCGCCAGGATGTCAGGGTAAGCCCCAAGGCGGCCCAACGTATATGCAACGGACGATCAAAAGATGCCTCACTGATCTTGCGATGGCCCAAAGAGGCGGGCCCAAACTGGCCGAAGCATACCAAAGCACGACACCACGACCCCGGCTTGGCCCCGATGCGCTCTTGAGATGGCCCCAGTACAACGCCAAGGCGCAACCAAACTGCGGGATTTGCATCCCGCCCGCGATTTATAGCCAAAGCAATCCCAACACGCGACACCACGACCCCAGCATGGCCCTGATGCGCTCTCAAGGTGGCCCCAAGACAGCGCCCAGGCGCAATCAAACTGCGGGGCTTGCATCCCGCCCGTCAGCCTACGGGAGTCGCATATCTCATGGGTGGGATCTGTTCTTTCCCGAGCGAGAGCTATGTCATCAGAGTGCATCAGGGGAGCGGGATCTCGCCCCGACAACGCGAGGCGAGTGTCGTCCCAGGCGTCCATAGGGGGGAAGGGGCGTTTACTGCCTCCTCCTGAGCCCCTGTCCCCCTCCGGGCTGCTGCCGCGGTGAGCTCGCGTCTGCGAGCAACATGTGCACTTGGGCGCAAAGATCGCCCCAAGAGGCCCCCAAGAGGCCCCGAAGAGGCCCCCCAGACGGCCCAAGAGGGCCACAAGACGATCCAAGAGGCCCCCAAGACGGCAGCCACATGGCGGCTGGAGCGGCCCGCAGGCCCAGTTCTTTAGAAGACAAGTCGGAAGCCCTAAGAGCCAGCATTGTTTGGGGAACATATGGGATGACATGATCTCCTGGACGCTGTGTGCACATGTAAGAATTAGACGAAGAAAAACACATAAACATAAGTTGTTGGCGCTCCGCGCGGATTTCTTGGATTCGCGCTGGACCCCCCTCCCTGGCGCGCGGAGCCAGGAACGTATCTTTATGTGGTTGTTTCTTCGAAAAATGTAGTCACCGTGTCATGAATGCCGCCACTGCCCCTAATTAGCCTCCATCCCCGTTCCGCCTCTGGCGCCTGCGCTGCTCTCTTCTCAGGGTCGGCGGAACCGGCCGTAAGGCCTTTGCAGCACATGCATACACATTTGATGCACATATATACTTGTTCTGCACTGTCCAATGCCGCGCTAACGGCGATGTTGGTTAGCGGCGATGTTGGGAAAATGATGGTTGTGACACCGAGCTCGTACATAACAACTGGTAGGAAATCGTGAACCACACTTTCCTACATTTCAAATGTGCGAATGTATCGAGCGAAAACGACGCAGCGAATTATAGGAGAGCGCGAGCCACGATGTCCCACAATTGGTTGGGCACGAACCAATTCCACATACAATGCCGAAACCTACAGCGCCGTTACTTACATTGCCGTTAGCGCGTCTACGCCTCTTACGCCTACGCTGCTCTCTTCTCAGGGTCAGCGGAACCGGCCGTAAGGCCTTTGCAGCACATGCATACACATTTGATGCAAAGATAATACTTGTTCTGCACGTTCCTTCTCCTCCTCCTCCTCCTCCTCTTCCTCCACCTCCCCCTTCTCCACGTCCTCCCCTTCCACCCCCCCCCCTCCCCTCCTCCCTCTCCTCCTCCTCCCCCTCCTCCTCCTCCTCCTCCTCCCCCTCCTCCTCCTCCTCCTCCTCCTCCTCCTCCTGTACTGTGCTGCTCGCAATGAGAGACCAGCCAGCCGGATCCAACACAGCCCCTGGGGCCACAGGAGCCCCGGAATTCCCCCAGGAAGGCTCGAGTTGGAGTGCTCAAGGAGGGCACCTAGAGATGCCGGAGCATGCCTCCCAGAGCGCCCCGATGCACTTCAAAGGCGTGCGCCGTTGGACGGTTACACCACCGTTGCCGCGCATGCCCGAACGCCACCGGCAGGATGCCATGAAATGCCCGGCGTGAGCCAGCTCAGAGGGGTCCCGAGAAGCCCCCACGGCACAACATGTCCCGAAGAGGCCGCCATACCCACCCCAGATAGAGACCCGGGGCCGCCAGAGGTCCCCATGGACCCCCGAGATGGCATATCGTATGTCCCCAGAGGCATCCAAGAGGGCCTCTCAGACGGCCGCCGAGGTGCGACGCAAGAGTCAGAGAATTACTGGATTTTCAGCTGTTCGCCGTCTCTGCTCCTCCTCCTCGTCCTCCTCCTCCTCCTCGTCCTCCTCCTCTTCCTCCTCCTCCTCCTCCTCCACCTCCTCCTCTGGGTCACGACGGAGCAATACTGTCCCCAGAAAGGTCCAGAACCGTCTGTGACCCCCCCCAAACGAGCCGCCAGAGGGCATCAAGAGAGGCACAAGGGCCACGTGGCTAAAGTTTGACCCGAAGATGCAGCCCAACATCCCAAGGTGAGGCCGTCAAGGGAGCTCCAGGGGTCCAAGAGATGACCTCGGAGGGTCCCAGGGACTTGCCATCAAGTGCTCCCCAGCGGCTGGGCGGAACGAACAATCCAGTAACTTGTTCGATCTGCGCGCCGCTAATCAAATATCCAGCCTCGCCGCCCATGTGCCCGCACTTGCTCCACCCACCGAGTGCGAACACATGTGGCAAAAACGAGCGCTGAATGAGGAAGAGGTGGACAAAGCGGAAAAGTAAGGACGGATTAAGAAAAACATGTGAAGAGGCTGAGGGGGGAGGAGGGAAGGCGAGGAGGATGGCAAGGACGAATCGAACGTGGCTGGTGGGGTTCAAGAAGAAGGAGAAGGCAGGAGGGCGGGGAGGCGGACGCAGACCTAACCGTCAGAACGCGCCGAGGGAGGAAACGGGCGGGCGAGAGAGCGGGGAGGAGGGCGTGCAGCAGAGGGAGAGGAGGAACAACGCATCGTAGCCACACCGAAGGCCTGTAGCATTATGGTTCTCATCACAGTGTAAACCATACGGTGAGCTGTTGCCGTGCCAATAATGCCCGCTATTGTGATAACGTGGAAGGCGCAACGAAAACATCACGAACACACACACGGACACCGACCTGTGATAAAAAAGGATGGCGGCAGAGCACGGAGGGTCAATCGCCTTTATCGAGCTCCCATTTGCCTGGTTCACACATGACGTGAGGGTGTCCCTGATTGCCGGGCCAAGCTGTGCAACACCTCACGGCCTGCTGTACCCCATCTCTGCTCACGCCTATCCTGGTCGCGGCCCCGATCTGGATCAATCCCAAGGGAACTGGCCATCGCTCGGACGTCCATTCCCTGTGATTTTTTGTCGGCTTCGTGCGTGGCTTTTTCGCCCAATGATCAAGGATGCTCCTCGATGGTCCTCGCCGAAGGAAAAACGCACACGTCCGAGCGATGCCAGGGGAACGCCTGGGCTCGGCCTCGTGTCTCTGCTGGGGCACCGCGGCTCCCATCGCCCCGCTGGCTCTCAAAGACAGCGAGCTGTGCCATTGCCGACCGACTCGGGGACGGGCGGGGGCTCGCTCCAGCCGCAGGGCTTGATCACACAGCCTCGGGACGTGCACACGGCGTCAGACCCACAGAAGTCCTTCGAGACGCGCGAGGCATCTCCTCCTGACGACGCGCAAGACGGCGGAGCAGCAGGAAGCAGCACCGTTCGCGGCGGTGGCGGCGGCAGCAGGGAGGAGAAGCAAGGGAGGGCGATGGGGAGAACGAGCTGGGTGACGACGGCGTGTGGGAGGGGGGTCGTTGTTGGTGCAGAGGAGGAAGGAAGGAGGAGTAGGAGAGGGCGGGGTGGTGGCGAGGACACTGAGACTGAGAAGCAGGAGGAGGCCTGTGAAGAAGGCGACGACGACGACGGCACCCGCAGCGGCGGCAGTGGCCGCGGCGGCCCCTGCGCGTGGCCCGGCGCCCTCCTCCGGGCAGTCGGGGGCCGCCGTCTCGTGCAGGCTGAAGTCCAACGCCTGGAGCCGCCGGGCCCCCCCCTTCCCAGACAGCGGGGGCCAGTCCACAAGAAGCCTTCCACAAGAAGCCCAACCCTGAGACCCCAGGACGTCCATTGGTTTCTGGCGTGGGAGCGTCACGCTTTCCATCGCGAAGCCATCGAACCCCACGAAACCCAGGGCACCCTGGAGGCAAGCAGGGTGTTTCTTGGCATGGGTCTCCACTGTACCTCCGACGACGTGAGCCGACGGCGTCGACGTGTTTTCTCCCCCCTCGGCGTCCCGCAGCTGTTTCTGAGTCGCAAGAACCTAGGCAGAACCGCTCAGGATGAAAAGCCAATACCAAGAAAGGGGTCGGGATGGCGGCAAGAAGAGGTCGAGTCTGTCGGAAGTCTGGGCCCCAAGCCCCCTCTTCTCCTCGTCTTCGGCCTCGTCGTCCTGATCATCCTCCTGCTCATCCTCCTCCCCCTGTCGTCCTCGTCTGCTCCCCCCCCTTCTCCGTATCCTTCTTGTTCCTCCCCTCGTCCTTCTCCTCCACCTCCCCCTCATGTCACTGGTCTTCTCCCTCCGCTCCTCCTGGAGCCTCGCTGTCTCTCAATCCTCCTCGTTCCACTCCTCTTCCTACCACTGCTGC